GCCAAATGAGTCCTAGTTCCCCCCCCCCCCAGTTACCAGGGGGCAGAGGAATGACAGCAGCTGCGGAGCACAAGAGCGGCCTAATCAGTCCTACTTCAGCCCTGCCAGGTGGCAGGGATGTAGGAGGGGGCAGGAGAATGGCAGTAGCTGGATCAGTCCTAGTTCGGTCCCAACGGCAGTGGCCGGAGCAGTCATTGATCGCCCCGCTGGGGCAACTGGTGGGCAGGGGAACAGCAACAGCTGTGCGGGGAATGCGTGCAGCTGGGTCAGTCCTAGTTTGGCCCGCTGGGGCAAACAGGGGACAGGAGAACTGCAGCAGCTAGATCAGTCCTAGTTCAGGCCCACCGGAGCAACTGGGGGGCAGGGGAATGGCAGTGGTGGCACAGGACATGGGCACGACCACCCCCCCCCGGGCGACGGGGGCAGGGGAACAGCAGCCAAATCAGTCCTAGTTTAGCTCCACCAGGGCAAGGTGTGTGGGGGGGGGGGCAAGGGGAGGCAGGGGAATGGGGAGCGCAGCACTGGCAAGCAGATCTGGGCCTTCCCAGCACGGGAGCCCAGAGCGGGGAACACCTCTGCTGCCACCCACGTAACATACGAGACTCTACAGTTCTGGGTCTGCCTGGAGCAGTAGACACCTCCACCATGGCCCTATGGGTTGCATGTGGCTCTAGCAAGCAGTTCTGGGCCCACCCAACATGGGTGTCTGGAGTGGGGAACTCTTCCACCACCACCCACAGGATGCGTGTGGCTCTAGCAAACAGTTCTGGGCCCACCCCAAGCAGTAGACTCCTCCACAGTACTTCTCAGTGGCCTCACAGGTTGCGTGTGGCTCTAGCAAGCAGTTCTGGGGCCGCCCAACACTGGTGTCTGGAGCAGGGAACTCCTCTGCCACCACCCGCGGGGCATGCACAGCACTACCAAGCTGATCTGGGCCCTCCCCGTGCGGGAGCCCAGAGCTGGGGAACTCCTCTGCTGCCACCCTGGGATGCGCCTGGCTCTAGCAAACAGTTCTGAGCCCTCCTGAAGCAGTAGACTCCCCCGCTGTGATCCCGCGTGTTGCATGTGGCTCTAGCAAGCAGTTCTAGGCCCACCCAGCATGGGTGTCTAGAGTGGGGAACTCCTCCGCTAGTCCCTGTGGGGTGTGCATGTCTCTAGCAAGCAGTTTTGGGCCTGCCTGGGATGGAGGACTCCTCCACCGCTGCCCACGGGATGCCTGCGGCACTAACAAGCAGTTCTGCGCCCGCCCAGAGCGGGAGCCTGGAGTGGGGATCTCCTCTGCTACCCCTGGGGTCCACGACTCTAGCAAGCAGTTCTGGGCCTGCCAAGAGTCGGGGACTCCTCCACTGCCACCTGCCAGGTGCACGTAGCTCTAGCAAGTAGTTCTGTGCCTGCCCGGAGCTGAGGGCTCCTCTACAGCCACCCATCCCACAGCGGGAGGCATGCAGCTCTAGCAAGCAGTTCTGGGGCCTGTTTTGTACCTGTATTTTGTGTTCTTAAATGCTCTTCCTTGGATTTACAGCTTGCTGAACTTCTTTCTGGGCTCAGCTCCCTGTCTTTGGCTTCATAGATTCTGATTCCGTCCAGTTTTTCTTCCTTTGCTCAGGAGGCTCTGACAAGGGTGATACCAGTTGGCCATCTTCCCAGAGTCCCCCCCCTTTTTTTTTGAGACAGAATCTCACTGTGTCACCCTCAGTGGAATGCCATGGTGTCACAGCTCAGAGCAACCTCAAACTCTTAGACTGAAGTGATTCTCTTGCCTCAGCCTCCCAAGTAGCTAGGACTACAGGCACCACCACAACACCCAGCTATTTTTTGTTGTTGTTGTTGTTGTTGTTGTTGTTGTTGTTGTTATTCTTGTTATCGTTGTTTAGCAGGCCTGGGCAGTTTCAAACCCAAGAGTCCCAGAGCATGTGGTCAGCACTCTAACCACTGAGCTATGGGCACAGAGCCATTGTTGATATATCTTAAATATATAATATATCTTATGCTGCCAGTCTTTAGAAGATAGGTCAGTTGTAAGGAAGAATATTCTCTGCTATCAGTAATAATTCAGTAGAAGGGAATTAATTTTTTCATTAAAATCTTCTAGATAGGCTCAGTGCCTGTGACTCAAGTGGCTAAAGCACCAG